CAATTTCCTGCTCGGCGCCCACAACCTAGGTACTTGAAATCCTTCACTCGGTTCACTTGGACATCTCCAATTCTGATGGTACCTTCTTCTTTCTGACCTCCACCTGTGCAAAAATACTCAGTTTTCTTTCTGCTCACTCTCATGCCGCGTCTTTCCAGGGCATGTTGCCACAGTTCCAGTCTGTGTTCGGCCTCCGCTCGTGTTCTTGTGAAAATCGCCACATCATCAGCGAACAACATATCCCATGGTGCTCCTCTTCTGATGTCCCTAGTCAGACACTCCAGGATGATCAGGAAAAGGAATGGGCTGATTGCTGAACCTTGGTGTAATCCCACTGTCACCTTAAACTCTTCTGTCTCTCTACATGCAGTTCTGACTCTCGTAATGCACCCTTCATACATATCTTGCACCACTCTCACATAGCTTTCAGGGATCTTCACCTCTCTCATGCACGCCCACAGTTTTTCCCTAGGCACCCGATCGTATGCCTTCTATGAAGGTGCAGTGCAGGTTCTCCTGCATGAAGCCAAACTGCTCTTCTCCTACATGCACCATTGTCCTCAGCCTCGCGTCTATCACTCGCTTCCAGATCTTTAGGGTATGTGAGGTGAGGTTGATGCCGTGGTAGTAACCACAGTCCTGTATGTTTCCCTTGTTCTTATAAATGGGTATGATGATACTGCTTCTCCAGTCGTCCGGCATCCTTCTCGTTTTAGCACAGAGTTGAAGATTGCCTGTAGCCACCCTATGCCCTGTTCGCCGAAGCATTTTCATCTGCCTTATTACCTTCCGCACCTCACCCCAAGTGACTCAACTTTGGGTCCAACACGATGCCTATGCCATTTTCCTTGCTGTTTTCAGCTTGTAGCCTTCAGCAAGTTCTCTCGCCTTTTTCTCTTTCCACTTCGTCTCTTGCAGAAATAGGATGTTTATGTTTCTTCTCTCCATAAAGTCGACAACCTCTCTTCCCTTGCCCGTCATTGACCCCACATTCAGTGTTGCCAGTGTCAGGTCTTTACTCCTCTGTTGGTTCTTGGCCCTTCTTTGGGCTAGCTTCTTTAGCTGTATCCGCTCCTGATACGGTAGCTATAGCCCACTTGTCACCGCCACACGGCGATCTGGCTGCGCGTCGTCTATGGAGGACGCCCTAGCATTCTCATTACCTATCTATGTCCGCATCATAATTAGGTTGGTGCAGTGTTTTATGACCGGCTTGGGACTGGCACCGAGTTGTGCTGGCTTGCACCCCTCTGTGGCGGAGTTGTTATATATATGTGTGTGTGTGTGTGTGTGTGTGTACATATACATATATGTGTATGTATGTATATATATATATATATATATATATATATATATATATATATATATATATAATATATATATATATATATATATATATATATATATATATATATATATATATATATATATATATATATACGATTTATATATATATATATATATATATATATATATATATATATATATATATATATATATATATATATATATATATACGATTTATATGTATGTATATATATATATAAATATATATACATTTATATATATTTATATATTTATTCAAATATTCATACATACATACTTATATATACATATATATATGTATGTATATGTATATACATACATACACATATATATATGTACGTATATGTATATACATAAGTGGAGGGATGACCTTGTATCTAAGATTGCTAATGAACTATATTAGCAAGGTATTGTGCGCCGAGTGAGCGAGCTTCTGGTTGTTCTTATAACATATGGTTGTGGGTATTCGGAGGTTCGGTTTCATTCGGTGGCGAGGAAAAGGGTCGTGACGTGGCCGTCCGTGACATGGCCAAGGTGGCTACTTAGCACGCATTCTATCGTTAGTCGCTCTTGGACATCCATACAGGGTAAAGTAGTTATTTTGTTATTGGGATTGTGGGAGAAGTTTAAATTTATTTTTGGATTTTATACATGGGTATATTTTTCATTATTTAGAATTACTTAAATAGCTTAAATGTCAATTAGTTCAGATATTTATTTCCATGAAAGGGACCTACTTTGTCAAGGGCCGGACAGGAGAGGCGCCTCCATTTTTCCATGTTAATATCCTGCCGTCTAGTGTGACCGAAAAGTCAACGAAGCAGGAGAATTGAAGTTTATTTGAATGGGAAAACAATCCTGAAATTATATTTTTGGTGAAAAGTGGTAAAAGTGATGTGAAATAATTATGTAATACTATATATATTTATGAATGTAATAAATATAAACGATGAAATGTGTTTCGATCCAACCCGAGACTAAACCAGTCCAAATGAATAAGAACCTAATTATTCACAAGTGGCGCAGTGAGTAGGATTGGTAGTCTCTGGGTTTGCGAAACCATTTTCACCGTAGTTTTCTCGGGAGCCAGGTATAATCCAGCCTCCCCTCATCGTCCTAAAAGTGATTGTGCTGTTGTATTGATTAATTAACGTTGTGTAATAACTTTTTTGTGATGGCAGATTTTGAGACACTGGTGAGACAGGCAGAGACCCTAGGACTCTCAGGTGATGCTCTGTCCGATTATGTCAGTAAACAGCAAAACGTTTACAGGGAAGAAAGAGCTAAAGAGCGTGAGTTACAAAAATTACAAATAGAAGCTGAAAACCAGAAGGTAGCCAGAAGGCCTATGAACTTGAATTGACGAAAATCCATGCCAATAATAATGCCTCCATCACCCCAGTGTTCAGTGATGATACTGTGAGACCTAGCTTACCTGTGTTTCATGATAGTGAAGATATTTCTTTGTATTTGATAAGGTTTGAAAGAGTGGCTGATCTTTTGAATATGAAGAAGGAAAGTTATGCCGTCAGGTTAGGCAGCCTTTTGACAGGGAAGACAGTAGATGTTTATTACCTGACATAACTAAAGATTATGAGCTATTGAAGAAATGTCTAGAAATGATAGTTTTGCTAAGACTCCAGATGGTTACAGTGTGGACTTCCGCTCTGCTAAAATTAAACCAGGTGAAACATTTAAACAATTTGTAATTAAGTTGGGTGGATGTCAGTAACGTAGAGAAATCTTATGAGAATTTACGTTCATTTATGATATTAGACCAGCTAAAGTCTTGCGTTTCCCCAGATATCTGTATGTTTAAGAAAGAGAACAGCGCCTCTACTCTTGATGAAGCTGTGAGGTTTGCAGACACTTGGGCTTCCGCCCATGTATCTTACCCGAAATCGAACACCTGTCTCCACAGAGGTAAGAGGATGGTTCAAACCAAACAGATGGTTCCAGAGGAAGCAGAGGTGAAAGCTCCGCGACCTAAAGTAACATGTCATGGCTGTGGGAAAGTCGGGCACATCAAACCACGTTGCCCTAAAAACCCTTTTGCTTTCAAGCAACAATCTAGTTATACCGTCGATTTTTCTTATGATGACAACTCTCCTCGTAAATTCTTAACTTCAGGCACCATCAATGGTTCTTGGGTTTCAACTGTCCTCCGAGATTCCGGTTGTTCTTGCGTTATTGTTGCTGAACAGTTACTCCCGGATTTTGATCTGACATGTCAGTGGACTAGAGTTTTTGATTATCTTGGGCATACAGACACTTTCCCTCTAGTCAAATGTTTCATTCGATGCCCATATTATGTTGGATGGGTTAAAGCTGTAAGGGCACCAATCAAATTTTGCTCTGTATTAATTGGGAATATTCCAGATGTAAGAGATCATAGTGACCCTGATGCTATTTCTAATAAATCTACTAGCAGTTCAGCTGTGTCTGACCATATTGAGACTATACCACGTACTGTAGCTGTTGCAAGAACGACTAATGTTACTGATGAATATGTTCAAGCAGTTGAAACTAGATCAGGGAAAATTAAGAGAGTCCATCCTCTCTTATTACCAAAGTTAGAACCTCTCAATATCACACCTTCTGAATTCGTCAAACTCCAGTCATCTTGTCCATCTTTGTCAGGTATCAGGTGCAAGGCTAATGCTGGGGAAACGGAAAACATGCGCGATGGCTCATTGTATAAATACGAGGCAATGAATGGTTTGATCTACCGTTCTTGTGTGAATTCCAGATTCTGTAAAAGGGTTGGTAAATCTTCTCTGGTTGTACCTGCTGATTTCCGGAAGATAATTCTCAGTCTGGCACATGAAAGTCCACTTGAAGGCCACATCTCGCACCGTAAGACAGAAATTAAAGTAAGGGAACAATTTTATTGGCCTGGAATGGGTGCTGATATCAAAGACTACTGTAGATTTTGTGAGAAGTGCCAGAAAATGTCCAGTAAAGGCAGGATAAAGCCAGCCCCATTGCTGCCAATACCTATTGTGACTGAACCTTTTTCTTGCGTCGCGACTGATATTGTTGGACCATTAACTCCTGCATCTTCCCAGGGTCATAAATACATCTTAACATTAATTGATTTTGCCACCGGGTTCCCTGATGCTCACCCGTTAAAAGATATTGATTCGGTGTCTGTAGCTGAGGCTTTACTAATGATTTTCTCTCGAGTAGGCATTCCTAGGGAGATACTCTCAGACAGAGGCACACAGTTTACTTCCAAATTAATGGGTGAACTCCACAAGTTACTTGGTATAAAGCCCCTTTTCACAACTCCTTACCACCCGAGTTGTAATGGTAGGATAGGAAGACTCCATAGTACATTGAAGGCTTCCTTAAGAAAGTTGTGTATAGAAAAACCAAAGGAGTGGCACCGTTATCTCAAACCTACTATTTTTGCATTGAGGGAAATTCCGAGTGACCGTACTGCGTTTTCTCCTTTTGAACTGCTTTATGATCGTACTGTGAGGGGGCCACTGTCAGTCCTGAGAGATTTATAGGAAAATCCTAATGTAAATGAGGATCAGCGTTCTACGTTTCAGTATGTTATCGAATTGAAAGGTGAATTAGCTGACTGTGCCAAAAA